AAGATGGAGAGCAATTCATTTCAGACACGCTTTCCACTTGCTTTTGTAACTCACACTGCTATTACATTACTCAAATAATGATTTTTAATTCATGCTTCCCTTGGGATGCATCAGCTTTAGGAAGAAAATGCTTTGCCAGAAACTGTATCAGTCTCCTAAAACAATCAACTTGGGGAAGCAAAAAAGTGCCCTAAGGATTTTTGAAGAGCCCTAAGGACCAGCTCACTGGCTGAGAGCCCTGCAGTCACTCCCCTCTCTCCTGCAAGACTTTCCAAGGCACAGGAAGGACATATGGATTGCCTTTGTGCAATCTCCCATTGCCCATCCATCACTGCACCTGAAATGTGTCAGGCAGGCAGAGACTGACATTGGAGCCCCGGGACCCTTTCCCTTGGTTTAATCCTTCAGTGCCTGCCCGAGCAGCACGGGTCACCTTCATGCCAGGACATATGAAGTCTTCTGGCTGTCCTGGAAATAGATGAAACCCAAAGTTTACTGCTAGTGAGCAAAGCACAGGACTATAGTCATACAATACATTTTCCTAACAAAAGCTAGTCGGTCAAAATCTCCTCCTGCCTATTAATTAAATTGTTATTTAATTCACAATAAAAGTCCTTCTCTTAAAGAGCCAAAGGATTCCCTTGCCCCAGGTGATGTGCAGCAGCAGCAAACATTAAAACACACTGCTGTCTGCAGGCCTGATCCTGCCAAGAGCACTGGGGCTGTCCGATTTCCACCAGGAAAATCAATCTCTGTTAGACCAGAGAGTTCCCTTAAATGAAAAGCCTTATCTAGAACAGGTCGTGTTATACAACAAGTCACTCTCTTTGCCTGGGAAATGAAAGATGATGAGCCAAAGTCCCCGGTACAGAGGCTATCTCCATAAATCTGCCAAAAAGGAACTGTGGATTACTTTGCTGGATTAATTATCTGTCCTTCAAACAGTCCTGACCTCAGCGGCTGAGCATCTCCAACCTGTCAAAGCAGCTGGGAAATCAGGAAGGGAGGGCTTTTGCAAGGCACTGGCCACAGGCTGCTTGCACCCTCTTTTTCACATGGGAAAAGCAGCAGAAACACCCATCAGAGTGATGGGAGCTCTGGCACTGGCCAACCTGTCAGCACAAGGGGCTTAAATTGCAAGATCTCAATCTGGATTTCTTTTTCCAATGGCCTTTTGCAGGGCAGTGATCCCACTACTTGCAAAGTACGGGGCAAAAAAGTGCATACCTTCATGGGGCTAAAACATGGAGATTGGCAGGGAGGGGGAGAAACAACTGAATTGCTTTCGCCTATAAGATATGGAAATGATTCTCAGTGCAGGCAGGCAGGCAGGCAGGAGGCAGGCTCATCTACCCTATCAGGACAACTAGCCAAAGCCGTGACACAGCTAGATCAGAGCTCCTCTGTCATTTCAGGCTTAACAGCTTTGTAAGCTGCTGGCATAAAGTTAGATCTTAAGTCTTTTTTTATGTGGTTATGGTTAATCTTTTAGTTTTATTGTTTTCCTGTCACGGGAGGACCTTGTGCTGGAGATAGCTATATAAATAAGAGCTGCAGTAGTATATCCCCAGGCACAGCTACCTGAGGGATGGAGCTGAAAAGGACACCAGCAATTCTAAATTAATTTTTATATCCTGCCTCCAAATCATACCAATGCTTTAGATATTGATACCAAAGGAATGATAAACAGCTGTGTCACTTTTCAGCCCTCTCACTGCTGTATATTCAACCCCAGTTAGTAAAATCAGACCAGGCACATGTGAACCCTGTGCCTGAAGACATGGGAGAGCGTGGGGGAGGCATCACCCATCCCTGCTGTGAAATCACAACAGCATCGCTGACACCTCCCCTTGTGGAAAGGAGCTGAAGAGTATAATTACAACATCCACTGGCCATTTTCACTTTTGCTTACGGTTGGTTTCTAATTTAATTTGCTTCCCTATTCCCATATGTTAAGCTGTTTTTTTGCAAAATTGCCATAAAAATTTACCAGCTCAGGCACAAAATCTGCTTGCTGACCTTTACCATTGTGATTGAGGATAATGACAAATTAATTAGGCTTTACCTGCCTGCCAAAAAAGTCGCTTGCCTTGAGTGAACAGGATTTTGGAGGCATGCTAGCTGCTGGTTCCCATGTCTGCACTCTCAGGCATCAGGAAGTAACACACTCTTTCAAAAGCAAGAATCAAATCATGTAAAGTATAAGAGAGTGCCTTGAGCAAGGCAGGGAGGCACTCACACCCTTATGACTTCAGGGAAAAACTTGTCTGCTCCATGACCATGTTTTCTTTAAACGTTGCCCTCAGCCACGCACCTTGACCACAGTCTGGAAGCTGAAAGGAGTTGGCCAACTCTGGCTCTGGCAACAAACACAACCCACAGTGGGAAGAGGGCATCCTGAAGCCTGGCTTCAGGGATCTTGGAAACCTCTGCATGTTGAAGGCAGGGTGAAGGTGGGGAGGAGGCCGGATTCAGTAGCAGGTGTCTGCAGTTGTCCCTCAGTCCATTCACTGGCTAATCCTTCCCAGCATATCACTCTGGAAGATGCTGGTGCCAACAGAAGGAGGACTCATCCTTGGCAATGTTCAAGGCCAGGTTAGGCAGGTTGCCTGGTCTAGTGGGAGGTGTCTCTGCCCATAGTACTGGTTGAAATTAGATGATCTTAAGGTCCTTTTCAACCCTAACCATTCCAAGATTCTATGACTCCTGGCCAGTTATAAAAATACTCCGCAATTCTCATGTTTGGGAAAAAAAAATAATGCAAAGCAGTTTCATCACTCTTTGATGTGTTCTGCCTGATTCTCTGATATGAGAGCTGCCCCCCACCAGGCAGGACTGGGGGCAGGGATTAAGCTTTTGGCATATGCAAACAGATGTGAAGCTGTATGCATTGATCTGCCTGCCTGTCACTCTACACACCCCATCCTCCCCAGCCAGGCTCCCAGAGCATGCCCAGCTCCCCTCCACCATCCCTCCATCCAGCCATAATGACCAGACTGACACTACCGTGGCATTGAGTAGGGGACACTTGCAAAGGGACATCATTACTGTTTTGCAGGAAAACCTCCTGCAAAGCTAGACATGGAAATGAGAGCATGCATGAACTTTCCAGGTAAAAATCCAGGGTCCAAGGTTTGTTTCCTTGATTCAGTAGAGCCGCTGTAACCATCCAATGAGCAGAAAGCCTGACATGACCACGAATGGATGGATGCATTTAGCAAATTAACCCCCTATAGATTACACAGTAGTTTCTGTAGGTTTAAGCCATCAAATAAAGGCTCTCAGAAACCCAGAGCTGTTTGTATTGCATCAGTGCTGACAAGGGAAAATTAGATACCTACAGCATAACGCATACCCTCTCAGAAAAAGGGTCTGTGGCCATCAGCAGATGCCCAAAGGAGGGTGGATGAACAGGACAAGGGTGATTTCCCAGCTGCTGGCTATCTTCAGACTTTGAGCTGGGTGGAGTTTCTATAAGCTGAATGTGTTACCATCCTCACAGTAGTTCAACAGCCTCTGCAAAATCAGAGGTTGCAGTCCAGTCTCCAGTGAGACAAAAGCAAGTCCCTGCTGCACTTTAGTCTGTTAATACATGCAATCTGGGGGAATCTTTCACTCAATTCATGCCAGGGGAACATTAGAATAAATTGCAGAGGAAATCAGAGGAATAAATAATCCTTGCATCTTCAAAGGCACACTAACCAGGGTACTTGCAGTCAGGATCAGTGGACTTGAAAATCAGGGTGAAATCACCTTGACCCTAAAGGTTGATTAAAAGAGAATTTGAAATGTCTGGGCTTTGAGGAACTGGGAAATTATTTCCACGCATGTAGCTTGAAGGAGCTGCCAACCAGCATCTGAAGCATGCGGCACAGCAGGGAGACAGGGCACTACAGCCATTTCTTGCTCTGAAGATCTCTCCAGAAAAAGCAATACCAGAAACAGGGTTACAACCCAGACCCACCAAGCTGGTCCCTTGCTCCTGGGTTAACACAAGTAGTCTGTCTGTCCCTGGGGCACAACCCCACCAAAGCAGGGTTCAAGTGCAGTCCAGTGAGCATCAAAATCTGCCCTCGATATGGCAGAGGCTCACTGACCTCAAGGCATCCTAAATAAGATGGGTCCAGTTCCCAAAACAGTGCACAATTGTGTTTTATCTGGAAACACTTGCCCAGACTGCCCTGCCCGTGGCTCTTTAGATTTCAGAAGAGATCCACAAACTACAGGCTCATAAGAGACAAGCACAGCCCAGCAAGTATCCTTGGGTGACCAGCTACATCACTTTCAGCAAGGTACCCACACGCCCTGGGAGGAGTACCCTGGGCTTCAGAGTCACCCCAAGAAAACGGGATCAAGCCACGTGTCTGTCAGAAGGCAGAAACCCTCCACTGCGTGAATTAACCTTAATTCCCTAGCCCTGCACGCTCGTGGCTCCAGCCCCTGCCTCCCACCTTGTGAAGCTCTGGCAGTGCTTTGGGAGGCCAGCCCTCGAAGGGGTGGGGGGGGAGGCGGCGGCTTTTGGGAAACGCTGCAGAAACTGCCAGGAACCATTCAGCCCATAATCAGTCCCATTCTCTCCCGAAACAATAAACACCGCAATGCCAGCAAGAGTTTTACGCCCAGCTCTTTGCAGGTCTCCTCCATGACGCTGCATAAAGAAGAGCTGTTTGTAGCTCATGATTAGGACAGAAAAGGTTTTGCTATGAGATATTCTGAAATTTGTTAAAAATAACGTCTGCTGCTTGAGGAAAAAGGGGATGCCACAAATGAAGCGCTCCAACAGCGCTGAAAGCAAAGAAAGCATTTCAGGGAGGTAAAAGCTTTCGGTTGTAGCAGTAAGCTACAGTAATTAGTCACGTTGAATCAAAAGAGCAAGCAGTACAGTCAAGAAGATACTTAGCCAAATGTAATTTCCCAGGCACGGGATGTACAAAGACTTATTGCAGGGCTAGGTCCTCTATCCCCACTAGGCTCCCCATCACATTCTCTCCACAACTTACCTGAGACAATGGTGTAGCCGATGCCCCGCGGACGGCCCTTGTCCTGGTCTATAGCTGTTATCATCCGCACGGTGGTACCCTGGGGAGGGAGAGGAGACACGCATTACAGTCACCCCCGATGAGCACTTCTGGGGCTCCTGGGATGCCCTCCTAAGGCCTTGCACTTCTTGCCATGGGTCACATGCTTAGGAAAAGGACAAGCATGTCTTGTCCAGACATGTCCAAGCACAAAGCATGTAATGGAAAAGTCCCATCACCTGCTTCTTGGGGTAGTTCAGGCTCACTCCTCCCCACTCCTGTGCAAGCTGCAAAACTCTGCTAGCCACAGTAGGATGGAGCTGGTAATGCTGAGAGCATGACCAGGAGAACATGTCCTGTAAAAGAACCACTAAGCAGGATGAGCTTGACTTCCTAGGTTTATACCAAGGCAAGCATCTGTAGGGACTGGAGAGAGCACCACCAGACACCTTCCTCATGCTGCTCATCTCCCGCCTAGAGGGAAAGGATTTGAAGCAAGGTCAGTGTGGTAAGCACAGCTGTGAGAGCTCAAGGAAGAAGAGGAAGGTGCAGCAATGGCAAAACCATGCCTTCTCATAGCATCACATCTGCACAGGCTGTGGCTGGCAGGCAAAGCTTACACGCCTGCACCACAGATATTTTCACTCTTCAGGCTCTAGATAAAGGCAACAATTCACCCTCACCACAAGCTTCAGCACAGGTCACTGCACCACTTCTATCTACTGTTGGCTTCCCAGTTTCAACTGGTCTGCTTCTTCCCGTGCATTCTTCAAACGAGGCACCCAGGCAGCAAGGAATGCTCAGCTGGCCATTGGCATCCAGCTGTATAACTTACTAGGCAAGCTGCAGAGAATTTAATTGAAGCCTTTAAGAAGAAGGAGGGCTGGACAGATGCTGAGAACAGGGACTGCCCACAGGCAGGATCTTCTGCAACTGTCAGCTCGCCCATCTCACCCTCCCTCCTTCAGGACCGACCTGTTTCTTACAGCTGGAAGGCAGGTCCCTGAGCCCAGGAATCCCCCAGAAGTGATGAATAACATAATAGTCACCCAAAATTCTTGTTTAGTGCTTTACTTCTCCCGCCACACTGCAGTGAGCCCATGTGAATACAAACACATGCACATGCACATAATTAATGTAGTGTGAAAAAAATTACAACTCAGCTGTTCTTGTTTCCATTGGTTTATTAACAGTGGGGAAAAAAGCTGCTTTTTTTTTGCCCTCAAAGGAAATGTCAACAGAGGCGTTTGCATATCTAACGAGGGAGCACAGTGGAAGAGCAGCGTTGCATATGCCCTGCAATCCATCAGTTGAAGGCTAAAGGGAAAGCTGTTGCAGAAACATCACCAGCGGAAAGTGGGGACTTGCCATTTTCCCTGACTTTCACAGCCATGCCCCTGTGGGCTCGATGGAGATGCTTTACCGCTGCTGGCCATAAAGAAGGCTCCTGGGACCACGCAAACAGCCCATGCCCTGATCTCTGAGGGCATTTCAGTGGACTCCTTAAGTAAATCCATGTTATTAACCGATAACATTAGCCATAAATCCCAGGTCACTGGCCTTTGAGCAGTACTCGGCTGGTGAGGCTCAGCAGCCACCGGAGAGCCTCTAAATCACTGACAATAACTGTGCTTTCCAAAGGAGCAGAATAGATAAAAAGCACAAGAAAAGCGGGAAAGAAGCAGGAGGAAAAGCGGAACAAGGGACATGGAAAGGAGGCCAATGCAAAGTATAGGAAAGAAAAAAGGGCAGGCATGCAGTCCAGCATGGCCTCCCCCAGCATACTCTATTTTAAGCTGCCGCCCCCATGGGGAAGGTGTGAGCCCCCCTCTGCTCCCTGGCAAAATGAGAGCTCCTCCATGGCTGAGGCGGTGGGTGAAGGCTCTTGGTCCACCTTATAGCTCACTTATCAGCTGTCAAAAAGTGAGGGAGCAGCACAGAATGATAAGTGTCGCCTGCTGTGCAGCACTTTCAAAGGGAAGGCAGCTGCGGGAGAAGGCAGGGCTGCCACGATGGCTGAGGAATAGCAATCGGCCCACCACACTGCGGCCGCTTTATCTGTGGGAAAGGTCCCTCCTGTAGCAGCCAAGGGGAAGGGCTGTTGGGAGAGATAAAAGGATGAATGCAGATGTTGCAGCAGGGAAAGTTAGGGAAGGGAAGAGGAGGAATCTCATTCTGATATCTTAGCAGCATGTGCCATAGAGACATCCATAGGAAAGAAATTATCCAGACATCTGATCACAAGAATGAGGGCTGTTAGAGAGCACTCCAAGGTTCAACTGAAAGGCCTTGGCAAGCCCATGATGATGGTTAACACTCCTGGTTTTTGAGTCTAGTCTCCCCCGTTCTCCTTGCAGACCTGTGTATCTCCTCCTTCTTCACAACCCCCTTCACCAGCCCTGCCTGGGGATGAGCCACACTTCACCAGTGATGGAGAAATACATGCCAGATTGAAGCTGAGCTCCTTAACATTCATGGATGCTGTCTCCTGGAACCACAGGAAGGACAGGAACCTGCGAACCGCTTTGCATCCTCCCTGGTTTCCATCCTACCTGATACATACCTCTTTCACAGGAGTCTTCTAATATCCACAAAACTGGTAGATCCCAGCTCCCGAGAATGAATGATCCCTCCCCAAGCATTCACACAGTGTTTATGACCTTGATCCTTCTGGGGAAGAGACTGAACAATTGCCACAGGATAGGCATAATATTTATCCACATCAGTGATGGCGATGACTGGTTTTGTAGTAAGTGGTAAGAACTGATGAAGATAGCCTTGTAGCATGAGAGTTCAACATGGCCAACAGGAAGGAGTATTCCATTCAACATGTGTTGGAGTTAAGATGATGAGATGCAAAACATGATTGTACACACAGGCTATACTCAGTTCCTCTGATGATCATGAAGCCTTGCCCAGAGGCTTCTTTACCAGCAGAGGTAACTAAACAGATAGGAGAGACTAGAAACAAGGAAACACCCAAACCAAAACAAACCCTTGATCACAGTCATACCACAACAGCAAAGACTGACCTCTCAACAACCACATCTCAACAATTTCCAGTTTTTCTTCCAAAATCCAATCACACCACAGCAATATTCATTTTACTGTCTAGGTCTTAGCACAGTAAGGGCAGAAGATGCTGTGTCCTGGCTCCCTGAGGCAGCCAACTGCACCCCTAAATTGGAGGGGACCGTCTTTAGCCAAGCACATCTGACAAGGCTTCTACTTACTCATGGACGCACCATGTTGACTTCCAGTGCTAACAGCTCTGCCCAGGACTCACCCCAAGTATTTGTGACACAAACCTACAGCTCTCAATCTCCAAAATATTCCTGACACTTCTTAAAACAAGCACCACCTTGCCTATCACAGGCAATGGTGGCTGCGAAGAAAGCACTCTGCTGGTGGGTATAGACTGATGCACCAGAACAGAATAACTCTCCCTCTAGGGAAGGAGGAAGAAGGTTTAGAAAAGTAATAATCTGGAAAAGCCTATGCTTAAAAAAAAGGCAAAGAAAATAAAGAATGGCACATTATCCAAACAAAATCTGAGGGTTTTTTGAAGAGGGGCAGGGGTATATCAATCCTTTTTTAATAAAAGCCTGAGCTTTTAATAAAATGTTCACACTGATGGGCTGGAAATATTGTAAGAAAGAATTAACTCAGAGCTATTGAGACTCTATGGCAAAAGTAGCACTGATTCTACATTATTTCTTCAATCCAAGGACTTTCTGAGGAGTAGGGGGATGGTGCTGAAGAATTAAAACTGTTTTAATGATATTTTACATGTACTATCCTATTGTAAGGGAATACAACTTCTGGTCTTGGAACCAAGCATCAATGGGGTTTGCTCCTGCTCTTGCCTATACTTGACTCTCTGTGCGATGAAGCACACTCTCACAGACCTCAGCTTGTCTCTTAGCAAGTGGATTCCTCCTCTTTCATCCCCAAAGTGAAGCTGCCATGCTGTATGGACCATGCCCTGGCAGAGGTCTAAAAACAGGGGGTCATCAGGCCAACAGAATCTCTGCAAAAGGAAATGGCCCCTCTCCTCCAGCTGCTATTGAGTTGTCTGGAGAACATCAACAATGCTATCCAGTCCACAAACACTGTGAAGATGCACACCCTAAAAGACTCTAAAGATGAAAAATACAATGTCACTAAGCTTTGCCACAGCTACAGGCAGCTTTGGTGCACTTGGATGCCCTGGGAGAGATGTCTGAGACATGCTGGGAAGATTGACAGCATCAAGAAAGAAGAAACAACACCTCCAGGAGCATCTCCTCACTGCATCTTCTTCCTTTACCCCATAAGAAATTCCTTTATTCTCAGTGTCTGAATAAGCATGTGACCAAAATGCATCTGAATCATGCTACCAGATCCCAGCCTGAGAAAAATCAGTGCTACAATGGCACTTCTCTCCCCTCTCACACCCCTCCACCCCTTTTTCTTCTTCTCTTACAGGATTAGGGACTTGAAAGGCAAAGCGCAGCCCAGCGATGCAGCAGGAGGAGGAGGGGGGAGCGCTTCAGAAAGCTGCCATGGCAAAAAAAATCCCATTTCTCACTTCTTAATTCCAGTCAATTCCAGTCAAAGGGCTGATAGAGATCTGTTTGCGGTAATTTGCTGCAGTTTATCCACTCTTTTCACCTTCTATCGGCTCTTCACTGACGGGCTGGCTGACATGCTGTTACTCGAGTGAGGAAATTAAAATTTGATGCAATAATCCCAAATAAGAAGGATTTTATTAGGTAATGTATACACTTCAGATGAGGTATTCTTGCCTGATATATTGATAGAGGAACACAGACATGCTGTGCACCACAGATAAAAAGAAAGGCAAGAGAGACGGGAGAGCGGGCATGTAGAGCAGCAGCAAGTCTCTGCTTTGTAGGTTTAAGGCTGGGATGAGATTTCTCGAGCACATTTTGGCCTGCTGAGCCTGACGGCAGGGCAAACATCACCCACAAATGCACTGCAGCCTGTCTGCTTGACCTGGAAGCCTGCTTCTGAACGGAAGTTGACCAAGCCCAGACTCTTCATCCAAATTTGCTGTTACATTTTCAGTAATCAAGCCATTCTGCAGGGCGACAGTTGCTACTCTGCATGTGTGACTGGTTCCCTCAGGTGGTAGGGCAGAGCTGATGAGAAGACTTCCCATGGAGAGATGATAATGCATATGTTAAACCCGAGGTTTGCAAAGCACGTCCTTGTTTCAGTAGTGATTTCTCCTGGGAAAGATGGGACGTTGGGCCCAAACCAGACAGCAGTATCACTCAAAGTACTGCCCACGTTCAGCAGTCTTCCTCTTCACCAATCTGCGATGGCACCTATCCATCTTGGATACCTCAGTGCCTTTGGAGATGTTACACAGGGCCAAGAGAAATTAAAATCCCTAAACCCTTCAGAAAACTTTTGACAGTTTCATGAGCATGTCTTTGTTCATTTCTGATTTCAGGTTACACAGCAATTATTTGCTGCTTTGGCTGCTGCAAACGGTGTATATTCTGGGAATAACTCTGGTACACATCAGTGTATCAACACAGATTGTTGAGCTCCAGCTGATAAATATTAATGATGTCTATCACTAATTTGAGAGAGATCCCCTTTCCTGGGTACCAGGTCACTCCATGAAGGAGATGCAGTCTATATTTTTTTATATTTGTGAGACTTCCGTTTCTGTAATTTCATTGAATGCTTTTTTTCCCCTCAGTTAAGTGTGATCTAAGTTGTGTTTTTTCTTCCCTTTCAGCTCATGTTGCCCCCCACAGAAATACTCCTTAATCTCAACAGCTTCAAAACGCATTGAAACTTCCAGTTCATGAAAGTAATTCATGAAGCCATTTTTTGGCCATCTTCAAGCCAACAGACAGGTTGTGTGCTGTCTGACCATGGGATTTGTGACAGAAGGACTCAGCGCTATTGATCCAGCATTCTCCATGCCGTAAGAGCTAGCGTTTTGCTCCAAAGTGAACAAAAAGGAATGAACTGAAGCGAGCTGGTGTTCCCCCTACCAGTGCACGAACTGAGCCAACAGTCATTTTCGATCCAGTGCACAAGAGGTGTTGCAGGATTTACGTGTGGTTTTGAAGCTTACCACACTATGATCTTAGGGCAGAAAGTTTTTCCATCCATATACAAAAATACTTGCCCTAGAGACAAAGAGAGGGGACACACAGCCGTGCTTTGGGAAGGCGGATACTGCTCGGTACTGGCTGGTCCTTGGGCTGAAGGTCCTCAGGCTGAAGACCCTGGGCACGCTTGCTGCTCGCAGAGCAAACAGCTCCCAAAGACAAAACTGCCTGCCACGCTCCCCGTCATCTGCTGCAGAGGACAATTTTCCACAAACAGTGAGTTTGCTGACAGACCGGGTTTCAGAAGAACTAAAATGATTGGATCAATTTGGCAAAACCTGGGGAAAAATACTCAAAGTGCTGAAATGGCTGATGATGCCGGCATTTTCAAAGCTGGCTCATTTCAGGAACGTTTAAGTTTTTCTTCAAGTTTTCTGTTAGAAATGGCACGCATATACACTGTGGGGAGGAACTTAGGGTTACTAAGAACAACACAAAGCCTTTTTAAAATGTAAGAAAAAAATGCTTAGGAAAACATCTTATTTGCGCTTTAGGCTTTCTAAACCTCCTGGCTTATGCTCCCTTTTTTAAAAAGGGCAAAATATTTTGGGGGCAGCTTGAAATGTATTGTTTCAGAAAGAAAGAGATTTGCCTATGTTTGGATGCCATTCATATCTTGTGCTTCAGAGCATTTGTGCTTTAGCATGGAAACAGGACTCCTCTTTGCACCCAAGCCACATCAGGGCAGAGCAATGCATACCTCTGACAGATGGAAGGAGAGACAAGTATCTCTGCAAAGAGGAGGTTTTCCTCCAACTCTTTTGGGATACCTTGTGCTTTCTGTCCCATACCATGCTCCATCCTCCCTCGGCCCTCAGTGCATCACCATGGTCATGCACATCAGAGCGAAACAGCAGCCCTTACCGGAGGTGAGTTCTCATAAATGTTCGTGCTGTAGGGCAGGTTGATGAAGATGGGGTCCATGTCCTGCACATCCGTGATGGTGATTGCCAGGTTAACCAGAGTAGACAGTGGCTTGTTTTTATCTTGGTCCTTAAAACACACAAGGGTCAGGGTGGAGGAGAGAAAGGATTTCTATTAGACAAGTAGAATTATTCAACAGCATTAAGTTTCTCAGTGGTAGTTGGGTCAAAATTTCTGAGTAGTCCAGGTAATCATCTCTTTTTCAAGCTACATGCTGAAATTATTGTCCACTTTTCCTCCCTTTGAGCTTAAATGAATTGCAATATGCATTTCACTGCAGCATTAACCCTTTAAAATAAAGCACCAATTCAGTTTTCATGACATTTCAGTTGAAAAAGAAGAAACTCTGTTCAACATGTACTTCAAAGTATAAATTCCCACTAAATGCAGCTACAGCCTAGAGTACCTCTGTACCATAAGACCTGGGTGTGGTTTCCACCAGATTCTCATACCCACACATCACAGCAGGGCATCTCATACCCCCCAGCACCAATGCTTCTGCACAGCTTGGGCTCCATCAGCTGGAACATGACAAAGCCCCCCAGCTCCCTCAGGTTTCCACTGCTCTTCGTCACCCTGTAGGCTGTGTTGCAGTCCCAGCTTTATTCTTTTCTGTATTTGCTGCTCTGAGCTTTGCAGAGGGTTTTAATCAGATGCCTCAGCTCTCGCACAGAAGGCAGAGTGGAAACCACAACCACAGGATACATCTTCACAGTAGCAACCTCCTTTCCACTGGGCTAACGATTTTGGCTCTGATAAACTGCAAACCTCCTCCCTCCCACCTTGCATGGGAACTGGCAGGATAGGGGTAACCAGGAGCTGCCTTTTGATGCAAGTCAAGTGGCTTCCATAGCTGTGGGGAGATGGGGAGCCATCCTGCCTGCTCTGCAAAGCAGGTCAAAAGCACACAGCAATCTTACAATGAGCATCAGTGGCTTGTGAACAGTTAAATGCTCCCAGTAGGAGCATCATCTCTCTTACACCCTCTCACAACCCATCAGGATGGAGCTGCAAGCACTTTCCCAGTGCAAGACCCTTCTCTGGCAGCCAATCAACAGCAGTACACACTGCCACCGGCTTTGTCCTGACAGTGCCCTGTTGACACCATTTCTCTTGCTGCAGCCTTGTCCCATGGATGCTCAAAACTGACCCCAATGCCCACAGCCCTTTCCTAAAAAGGCAGGAGAAAACAGATAACACATAAAAGGAAGGAAATAAATCTCTCCTTACCCCCTAAGCAAGCACTGTGGTGAAAGGCGACCATTAGAGGTTACCGCACACTCCTGCAATCTGGCTCTGAACAGCAGCAAGGACTGATTGCCAGAAGATTAATGTTAATTTAAACCGTATTCAACAACACAGCTTGCACATTATCCTCTTAACCTGCAGGCCTCAGCGTTTATGGCCTGGATGGATGCTTATTTCTGACTCACACTCTGCTGTTAGCGTTATCAGGTTGAAGACTTTTGTTTCTTCAGATAATGTTTTTTTCCCCCTCCCCTTCACCTCTTAAATTTTGGTTAAATGTTTACAGATAGCACTGAAAAAGCAAGCAAGTTTCCTCATCTACCATCTCTCATGCTGCCCTTTCCAGACTCTTTCTGCTCTTGCTGCCTACATCATTGGGATGAAATGGTTCCTGCCTTGAAGCAAGGCTTCACAAATCTTCTTGCAATCCTTACAGCCACCCCAGTTCCCATTCCAGACCATGCAAACTCTTCATCAAGCAGACAAAAGACTTCATTTGCTCTTCCAGCTCCTGGTATACTGGTGCACTCTTGTCCTTCTTTCTTGGACTGTGTTGCCCCAAGGTTTCTCATTGCCTCTCTGCTAGAAATTACCAGTGCCCTGTGACTGAGCTGAGGAGAAATCCCTACAGGTGCAACCAAGCCTCGTTCAGAGATTTAGTGTTTAAGTCTCTGAACTCCCTGAGCTGGAATGATTAAAAGCCAGGTATTGGGTAGTAAGTACCAGATATGCCCCCATTTTATCTTTGCTCCAGGTGGCTACTGCATCTGGGATACAGCGATAGAGCCAGATGGACCAAGTGCATCCTTGTGTTCTTGGGGAAACCAGAGTTGGACGATATAAGGAGGAAATTCTTTCCTGTTAGGGTGGTGAGACACTGGAATAGGTTGCCCAAGGAGGTTGTGAATGCTCCATCCCTGGCAGTGTTCAAGGCCAGGTTGGACGAGGCCTTGGGTGATATGGTTTAGAGTGAGGTGTCCCTGACCATGGCAGGGGGGTTGGAACTTGATGATCTTAAGGTCCTTTCCAACCCTAACTATTCTATGATTCTATGCGGATAAAAGGCACGTTCCCATCAGGGCTTGTGTTTGGTCCCACATTTTCTAACCTGCTAGGCAGTTCAAAAGCACATCCTGGGAAAGGGTGTTGGTGACAGAGACTGATAAGGAAATAAACAATGCAGAGGGCCTCTTATCAGTGGATTATTTAAAATAAAATTAGGTACATTTCAGAAAAAATAAGCTTCTGGGGAAAATTCCACAGCCTCGGACATGCAAGGATTGGGCTGAAGGGTTGAGCTGTTTGCCTGTGGCCCTGCAGTCTGTGAATGCCCAATCTCTGTGGCCATGAAGACTAAAGCAGCCCTGTGCAGCCCTCTCTGTCCTCATGACATTTGTGGTTCTGCATCAAGACAATGATCTTGATTAAATCATATGCTCCAAGAGTTCTAGCCAGCTGCCTGGAGGGGCAAGTAAGGGTTTTCTCCCCATCTCCTGAATGCAGAATTGGTCAGATATAGTGTAAGGCTGAACCTCACCTTCCTCTGTTGCATGCGAGATGGGAAAGGAGCACCTGCCTGTGGGGTGCTCCTCAATCACCTGCTCCCCATTCACACATTCCCTGCCAAGATCTTGCTAGATTTCACACCAGGAAAGAAGTTTCCCATTCAGGTAGGGCATACATTTGCCACGGTGGCCACCTGGACATACATCTCCCAGGGGTCCCCTCCCAGTACAGTGGTATTGACTGTAATTATATTAGGACCTTGGTTTCTCTCTGTCCACCAGAATTTTAACTCTTCATACGTGAACTCACCTTTTGTTGAGTGGGCTCAGGGGGGTTAATACAGGTAAATTCACTTGTATATACATCATGATGCTTAATGAATGAGACCAGATGATTTAATGGTTTGTATGCCCCATACTGGGTTTCTTCGCCAAGGGAGCTGTTTGCCTTTATACAGAAGTCCTGACATGCATGAGCTGCTGTTGGAGAGGTGCAGCTGTGCTCCACGAGCAGCACAGCAGTGATTTGAAACTACCCAGGTAAAATACTCTAAGTGGAAAATGCTGGATGTGGCCAAGGAGATGCCAGAGTAGGGCAAGACAATAAGTAAGAAGCAGCTCCTTCCCCATTGCAGTCTCTCTAGAAGATGCCTCCTCTCCTGTAGCCACCAAGATAAAACTCACCGTTGCATTGACCTGGAGCTGGTATGCCTGAGTCACTTCATAGTCCAGCTCCCGTATCACCGACACGATGCCACGGCCACTGTCGATGGCAAAGAAATCAGAAGGAGGCTGGAAGGAATAAAGCACGCTGCCTCCTGCCCCCTGATCTGGATCTGTGGCGTTCACTATGAAAATCGGAGTGCCCACAGGTGTATTCTGAGAAAAAACAAGGATAAAAAGAATCAGTGAAATTGTGCACCAGCCCATTTTCCCATCAAACACAGATCAGCAATTCCCTTTGCCTACTAGAAGGAATATCTGGAAACCCAAGAATTTCAGTCATGTATTTTCAACACATTTATAAGTCATACAGCTGTTTTCTTTATTACAGGATTGTAGCAGCTATAATAGTTGTTACACACTTATAATAATAGTTATACAGCTGCGGTCAAGATGGCACTCTATCACAAGCCCTCATTTTCCCAGACACCACAACTTTCCAGAAAAATTACTCTCTTTACTGAAACTTGTTTTCCGCCCAAAGGCACTTTTATTTTCAACACTGATTCCCTCTCCATTTTCACCACAAGGCATTTAATAGGAGAGCCTAAAAAAAATGCATTCAATGCAACACAGAACTTTACGCAAAAGTCAAAGTTACAGTTTCCACAGCAACTACAACCTGGCCCCATTAACACAGACATTAACAATTAAATCGTCATAAATCTGGAACTAATCTACATGCATAAAATATGCAGCTGAGTGCACAAAATCAGCAATGGCAAATGCAGTTTGGCACTTCTTATTGTTTAACTCCACAGCAGGGAGAACTATTATCCATTTTTGGTGGAACAGCTGCATGTTCCTATGCAAATCTTAAATGCATATTCTTGTCTCTCTAAAGGCAGAAGCACAGACAGCAAGCAAAAGGATTTTGCTGGGGACCTAGGCTTCAGGTAAGCACAGATCATGATGGCTTGGGCAAGTCCGTATGTTTGTAACGTGTGTACAGTCACATGAAGGGTTGACCAAGAACTAAAACTTGAAAGGGAGACAGCAAAGGTCAGAAGTGAGATGTGTCGGGGCTGGTTGTGGCCAGTTGGGATAATACAGATTATTTTTGAAAACCTCTTTCCAAGCTAATTGTTAATTTAATTCATATTAAATGTTTTGTCCTTAGCTCATAGAGGAGCATCACAAAGAGCTGACAAGGTGGAAAGGAAATTTAAGGAGAAACAGACCTTAGAAGATAGGCACTGATTCCAACTAGAGCACCTTTTGCAAATCCTTGGCTGAAGCTGAGCAACAATCTGAGCCATTTTCAGGTTTTTGGGAACCACAAAGCTTGCAGTGAACCACAGCTAGGGCTTCATCAAGGCTGTTCCAGATCACCACCTGTACTAGGAAGCATGAGAAACCAGGGCTCCATGCTTGAAGACCTGATTTAACCAGTTTAATACTCGGTGATAGCACCAGAAGAGAACCAAAACATCTAAATTTGCCCCAGTGAGGCTTAGCAGAAGGCTTAGGCCAGCAGAAATTTGCCATCAAAGACAGGTGGCAAGACTTGCTGTGAGATTAGTCAGGCAGAGTGGGTAACCCAGTGCATGTCCTGCAACCTACATTCACGAGTCTGGGCCCTGGATACTCATCACAGCATTGTAGGCATGCTCTGATACCTAAGCTCGTCCCAGGCTCCAGTGAAACTCCGCTTTCCTTACTTCTGCAGAGGTGCGAGAGGTTGCAGTTCCCACCTAGATTTTTCATTTGCTTTCTTTTCTCTCCCCTCTAAATCAAACCCCAGCAGCTCTCAGGGCATGGCCTGAAGATTATTTTTTAAAGCACCTTCAAGTTTTTTTTGTGAACAGCAATCATAAAAGCATAAAAGGTATAGCTAGAAGGGACCTCAAAAGAGAAACCCGTCCTTGTACTACACCTAAATCATTCCCATCCTTAAAGCTTTCTAGCGATGGAGGCACCACATCCTCCCCAGCCCATTTGTCCCAGCAGTTTGCTACCCTTTGCCTTTCAACTGCTGATCTTCTGTCAGGCTTAACCCGTATCTGCCCTGCTGCCATGTAAGTCTTTGACTTTGTACCACACACAGAGCATGTTAATCCTGGTTTGTGCATTTAGACTGCTCAGGAGCTGGGACTGTCAGCTTGGGAGGCGTGCTGGGGTGGAGAAGCCCTTCATGAGGGGGCTGTGATGGGTGTTTTCTTTCCAAGCACTCCTAAGAGACCACCTCAGACACGGCTAGAGCATATCCCCATCCTTCTTTGGGCTACCAGCCTCCCCAAGCCATCATGACCAGATGGGAGCAGCCCCAGAGCATCCCGCAGTCCTCCCCTTGCTGCTGCTGCTACAGAGCATTGCTCTGACCGTTGAGGTCTACATGCTCCAACAACTACCTTCTCAAATTCCTCCCCCAGAGCCACTAGGGTATCAATGTCAGGACAAAGAGCATTACAAATTAACCATTAACAGGGGGAGGAGAGGCAGTGAAAAGAGTAGATGCGGGGTTGCACCAACGAGGTCTGGGGTATATTGTCCTCAGGAGTAATAATATTCATAAGTATAAAGCTGGACTTGATGAATATGTTTTCCCTTCTATTTAAGTGCCCCTAGCCACTCCTTTTAATATGCAAATCCGCTCTGGTCACCCTTGATTATGGGGCTGTGAGGCTGGCTGTGAAAGAGGAGAGCTTGATTTCCCTGGCATTGTATTTCATACAATAGCCCAAAAGCAGGCTTTGAAGTGAGTTCATCTCCTCGTCCTTCCAAAGGAGAAGCTGCCTGGAGGAACACAGAGGTCACCAGCTTTGGTGCTGTCAGCTCCAGCCCTTGCAGACACTGCCTGAGCTCTGATTTGGCAATTACTGTATTTTTATCCTTATTTTACAGCTTTGCTGACCAGGCCCCTTCATTGGCCTGGGTAACAAAAACCACACAAGCAGGATATGAGCTCTGGACAGTTTCTGGCTGGCCCTGGGAAACAGCCATCTACACCAAAGAATCCCAGGGGCTGAAAGGGACCCTGGGACATGACCTCAGTGGGTGGCAGTGGACATCTGCAAGCATGAGCAAAGCATGGTGTGTGGGAATTTAGTAGGGGAGCAGAAGGGCCCCAGACAATAGGAGGAGCATTACTGGAGCCTGGAGAGCAGCAAAGTCTCAGAGGCGGAAATCTCCGATATTGCCCAAAGTGCGTAAGTCAGTGGGAAAATTTCACTACCAAATGCATGCCCTTATTCCCAAAAGCACACAGGTCAAAGGATGCAGACCTGTAAGAAGTGCTCGAGGTAATGCATCCTTTTCCCCCAGCTCAAACTTGAGCAAACAAACCTCAACTCTGGAAAAGCAAAAGCAGCTGTGGAATGCAGACATCCCATATTGACAGTCCTCTAGGAAAAGATGTCCCATGTTCAACCTTAATGCCCAGGCAGGATGCAGGAGTAATTTCAGACCGTCAGTTTTAAAAACCCTAAGAAGTATGTCTTTAAAATCCTCTTGCCATTTTTGGGTCAAACAGGCTCAAGATACTCCTCAGCAGGAGGCTGATGTTTTTATTTCTCAAAAGATGCGGCCCATCGTCTGAACAATGGAGCAAAACATCTGTATAAACAGAAGTGGTTGGGGTTTGTGTTTGATGGTAAATAACAGGCAGCGGGCACATGCCAGGGAGATGGGATTGTTAAACCCTGAACCAGGCCAGCTCAAGACAGACCATGTTTCTAAATTTTCAGCATTTGGCCTATTTATAGGACTCTACCATGTGTCCCTCGTGGCTATTCTTCCTTAGCAAAGATTAGTTGTGGTTATGCTTAGCTGCCTGACAGGCAAAAATAACAAATTCTATCTTTTCTATCCAGAAAAGAAGAAATGCAGACAGACAACAGCCTACAGGTACCTGTGGCAAGCAGGTGAGTTTTCTACATGAGTCACCAAATTCTGTCATTTTTAAAGCTCTCGGCTCTCTTGAGCAGCCAGTGATGAAGCTTCACACACTACAGGAAAGAACTGGTGACAAAACTATGTCATATCATTAAATCTTTGTTATGATGCCAGCAGATGCGAGATAAAAATAAACATGCAGACAGATGCCTCCCACGGAGGAGAAGGACGGCAAACAGGAGCGGGACCTGATCCTGACCTGTCTCCAGCACACCATCCTTCATCAGGCAGCTCAGCAGGAGTGGCTCAGCATGCCCTCCAAGCAGCTGCAGGAGTTAAAAGGGTTCTGGTGAGCCAGCTGCAGTACCACTGAGCTGCCTGGTCTGGGGATGGTGGGTGCAAGGTAGCAAGGCCATTTGTGCCCCTCTTATTTTGCAATAAATGAATAGGAAAGGTTCAAACTGTTGCAAAAATCTTACAGGAAGAAGCTGATGGGGTCCTGTTTGCCACAAAGAAATACTGAATGGTAACAGCATGTTACACGTTACACCCAAAGCACCAGGAAGACCAAACCAAAAGCAGCAAGGCACAAGAGCCCAAGGTAGAAGGAAACTACTCTGTTTCAGTGGATCATTGATAGCAAGGATAGCCTTGCTTTAAAATAAGGAATGAACAACCCTAAAACCCCTGTATAACCACAAAAAGGATGGTGCTGCACAAGGAAGAAGCACAGGAGAGACCAAGACTTTACCTCTCTCACACCAGTGCAACAATACACAATTTACATAGGAAATACTAGATTCAAGTGACCAGATTCAAGTGACCAGAACTGTATTTCCACCCAAAAGCTTTTATGGGTATGGACCAAGTGTGGCCCACCATAGCAAACACCTTGCCTAGCCTGGACTATCACCTCCATACAGCCCTCCAGCAAGAGTGATCAGAGACAGATGTGTCCTGTGTTAACCCTGGCACATTGACAGCTAGCACACCAAGGCCTTACACATTATTCCCTGCAAAAGGGCACCTAAACCTGAAGAAAAGGTTACGAGAAAAGGGCCTTTTTACAATATTTACACCTCACTCTCTGGCCACACCTACAGTCTTTAATATCTTATTATGAATCCTGCTATAAAATGCATTAGTAATAACATTTCTGATGGATGCTGCTCTGACACAACATGGCAATACAAGGTGGATTACAAGCTGGAGGAGGCAATCTCTGGGGGCATGATTCTATGATGTGCCCTACCAGACATATTACATGGCTGTAGCTCACTGTGAGAGGCACTGGGTAGGGCTCCCTTTAGGGAGCATCAGGA